CTTAGAAAGTAGTACGAGTTAAAGCATCGGGATTGACACAGGTATAACCGTGTTAAGGATCCAGAGGATCTAACTTGTCGTATGACACGTTACAGGTCCGTATTTAATGATTTTATTTTAAAATAAGAGAATTATTTTTCTACTTCTTATATCCATCCTAATTTTAAAATTATGCAAATAGCAAGCCAAGTCATATTAAAATAAGAAATTATTTTTTTTCTACTTATCATATACATCATAATTTTAAAATTATGCAAATAGCAAGCTAGACCATATATAAGATCAATCTTTTTATAAAAAAATCCATATTGGGTGACATTTGATAGATCCTTTGGATATTTAGGATGGGGCCGGTGTGACGACCCCGTTAAAATCATACATACCCGGAGACTGTACCATGAGTACTTAAATGTTGGTTATGACACTTCTCGTTAGATTAAGTGCTAGACTAGGAATAAGGTGCAAGGTGGTCTTTTTCGATGTCTGACTATTGTTCTTTGTCGGTTTGATTGCCCTACCCAGACAACAACATTTGTGTTTTTGGTGTGTTTGCATGTTTACCAATTTTAAAATGTGGTAGTATATTAGGTCGGTCTTCTGCAAAGAGCCACACCAATAAATATGCACGCTCACACACAGATACAAAAAGGGAGTAGTGTAATAATTTATATATTGATTATTTTCTGCAGACACCACTTAGCACCTCCCGCCAGGCATGGCTCAGACATTTTGCATGTAGATAACTTTTGTGATAAAATATTTTCGTGCAGGTTTTCTACTTTTCTTGATCTACTTTTTAGAGTCCTTAGGAGAGTCTATAGTGGAAATAAGGTACAGCCATACGGGCATAGGTTCTAAGGCGTTTAGCACGAGAATCACGTGGCGGGGTACCAGGAGAAAATACCCACGTCTCGAGTCTTAATTCCACATTTTACATCATTGTATAGAACAAGGGTCTAACATGTATGTGCGGAGTCTGACCGCCTTTTTTTCTTTCTGGAATATGTTGTCTACCTAGCGACACTGTCCATTTATTATTTCATATTTGGTTTGTTTTTCCTACTTTCTTACATGCTTGTATGCTTGGATTGGCTTCACCCTTTATTGGCTTGTGTTTTGTCTGGGAATCGTGCGAATCACCTAGGCTCATTAAGGCCCTAAAATTTTAAACTTCTACAAAATCTTAATAATAAAACATTAAGATTAACTAAGATTTAGAATTAAAATATTCAGGACTTTTAAAATCTGTATTTTACTTTTCTGCATAGACTTCATGTCAGTTTTAAAATGGTTCGTATGCATGACTTTACACCTCATCATACTTAATAGAGCCCCCACAATTATGACTAAATAATTGTATCATATTACATGCCCCAAGGAGAAACCCCGTGCATCTTCAACCCGACCGACCCAGCATAGATTTCTACTTAGATAGTTGTCAACCTAAATGAGGAGTAAGTCATTTGATGAGAGTGTTTTCAACATGAGTTTTACCTGCATAGGCCATAGGATTAGAGTATTTTTCCTTTGACCTTAGGACTATCGAGATCTCCTTGGACGACACAATTCACGGATTGTTGAAAAGGAGTCTCAAGTTGTGTTAGGTTCCTGACTAGGCTATTTATATTTGTTTACGATTACTCTACCCCTCCGTTGTTGAGCACCTTTGAGCCATGTCATCCTTTTGACACATTGTTGATGTATTCTTGTTATCCCTAATTGCGAATAGGTCGCTGCCCGTTTGGGATATGATGGTTCAACCTCTACCCTTATGACCTAGTTTGGTTTTGAAAGCATAGCGTGCACCCTATGAATCGACCTGATTATTTCATAGGCCCGATAGCCAATAAGCCGCTACCCATTTGGGATGTATGAGACTCATTCTCTGATTTGTGGCTTAGCGAAAGCTTTGAAAACATCGGGAATGTTCTTGTGAAATAACAATCATTTTGGTGACCTATTTACCAGTTATAATAATGTAAGCAAGCCTCTTTTATCGAGAGTATTATTGGGTATCCCTCAATATGTAATTAACCAAAGGGATACGTTCTTTTGGGAGTGTTCTTGACTCCGAAACAAAAATAATCTTTTCGGTTCTTTGGTTATGGGGGACTTATGCATGGATTATTTTCGTGGATACCGTATTTCAAGGTATTTCGAACCAATCTTGTTCGGAGGTTATTCTCGAACAATCACATGAGGATTACCTTTACATAAGCTCTCCATGTTTTTTTTTTTTAATTTGTTTGTCTATCTGTGTCGTATATTTCGACTTTTCCAATTTCTCTCATCTTCACATCATTTACATGATTCGATAGAGAAATTTATTTGGAAAAGAGAAGCATATGACGATGACACATAAATTGAAAAGCTGGCGACTCCGAGTTAAAAAAAAAAAACCAAATAACAATAAACTAAATATATAATAAAAATCAGAGTAGATCTAACATTAAAAACAATCATCCATTAAATTTGAAGATCAATATATTCATTAAAATGCATATCCAATTCATTTTATGGCGTCCAACATCTTCTTTCAAGGCATTGTAATGCCTCTGAGTCATCAATGCCATAAAATTTGATATTCATGGTTCTCCCAAAAAGATTTATAATGCAAACATTGCCCATGTGACACTAAAATCTCAAGAGGAAGCTTCATGAAAAGTTCTTACGAGTCCTCGAGATATATTTCTTGGGAACTTCCATTGCAGTAGTTGAAAATTCTCAACATCAATTATCTTTTAACATTGTTTGACATGAGAACAATGGTCATGACTTCTGATACTTGAGCTAATTTTAAGGATCGCACCAACTTCATGTCGGGGAAAACGTTTCACTATCACATCTTATTTGAACAAAATAAAACCTTAATCAATCTCCATCCCAACTACATAACACGGTTCATTCACAGATTATATCTTTCGTTTCCACAAAATATCAGAAATTTCATAATAAACTATCATCTCATCGCTACATAGCATGCGTCCAACTCTATAATGTGCACTACGAATGGTCGCCATCTTCAAAGGGTAAAACCTATTGTTAGGTGGATGGACTGCTTTTTATGACTCATCCACTGTTCATCACCAACTGTCAATGATCTAAAGGTTGGAAATCTTGATGAAGAACAAGTGGAACAGCTAATTCATCACTCTCCCTGACAAGCAGTGATTAACTTCAACTCTTCGAGGAATCCAATCTTCAGAGGTTGACATTACTGCTTGGAACCTTGTTCACACAAAAGATCAGAGAAGATTTTTCGTCCTTCTACTGGAAGACTCCTTGAATCTAAGTTACAAATTGTCTCTTGCTAAGGAATTTAATGAAAGAAAAGAGGCTTCACCCCAAAAGAGCATGACCAATAATAAGTTGAGAGGCTTGGTCCCCATTCCACTTAATAAAAGGAATTAGTTGTATCTAGCCATTCTAGCCAGGTGAGGAATAGAAAGGGGAAACGATATTAAATATCTCCCTATCACAGCAGGTGGCAGCTATGTGGGCCTCCTCCTCTTAAGATAATCAAGCACTCGCAAATCCCCAAACTGCATCTCTAACCTCTCCTTGAGATGATGATCAACAAGATTAAGGAATTTCCAAAGGCATTCATTCAGTCAATATCAATAACGTGACTAGACAATCATTGAATGCATCCCTCTTCTGGTAACCGTCTTGGGTGGTGGCAAAGATTGAAATAGATCAACCATAATGGAGCGATATCTATTAGCTCAAGATAATGAGGCAAAGGTCCAACATGGTTGTTTACATTCCCTATATTGTGTTTCTAGAGGTAGTATGGAAGCACCCAATGACAGTTTGGTGTTGAGCAACCTCATTGATGCAAGGAAGCATCACTGTGAGGAAAGCACAAAGAAATTCAAGGAGTGACAGAGAATAGATTTGCGCTTAAGCCTAGGTGGAGGAAGATGTCATATGCAAGGCTGAGATTATATCGAAGGCAAAGGAGTAGTCAAAGAAGCTACCCGAGTTGTGAAGATAGAGGCAAAGCAGATAGACCTCCGAGAAAAATTAAAAGGGAAAGGACCTCCTAGAAAGGGTTGAGTCAAATCACATCATTTGGGAGCATCGATTAGCAAGACAACCACCCCCATTACAACTGATCAAGTTCGAGAAAGTGATCCTCACATTATAGGGATCCAAGAAAATTCAAAGCTTGGTATGACAACAGCATCCAAGCCAGTGTCGTAGGGTTCCAATATTCTCTGGAAAGTTTTATCGTAATACCTTATTTCTCTCTTCTCTCTTAACTATAAGGACTGCAAGAATGAGATCGAGTCCAACCAAACGTTTAACTAAAACTCTCCTTTTTTTCTTACTTTTTCTTTTTTATTACCATAATGAAGTTTTCAAATTCATTTGAAACAACTCATATAAAGCATATATTATATAAATAAAAACATTTTCCGAGTACCCATAGCTATCCTATCATTCGTGTCATGTGGTTATTTTATAATGATACATTTGTGGGGCATGGTTGGTTTATAATAGATCCATTCTTGTGTTATGCACATCTTGTATTTTTCTTCCAGCCATATATATTCCTGACGGATTTTTTGTTAACATGATGTTAGTGCCATTTCAAATTAGCATTAATAAGGAGAAAATGTCAATTAGGTATGCATGCAAATTCATTGAAGAGTAACATAAACCATGAAGAATAAACAATTTGTTTTAAAATTAATAAATCATGATTTAAAGATCAATTTTAGCTCGAATTATTAAGAAAAAACTGTTCCATTAGGTCAACTTCAACATTCAAATAATTTGTAATACAGCTACTACAGCAAGCACTGTAATAAATAGCAAAATTTATAACTATCAAAAAGGGAGACAGTGGGTGCACAAAATGACAAAGAAATTAGCAACTTCAGAGACTATTGTACTTGAAGAGAGATTTGTAACATCTTCATTCTCCAAAAAAAAATTTACTCTCAACTCTTTCAAAATAGAAATACATAAATTTTGATCTCAAAAGATGGTGAAATTCTTACTCATGTTCCTAATTTCGAAGTCTGATGCGTAGTTTCACAAAATACTAACATATTTTGTAACTTCACAATATAAAACCTGCTGCAAACTTCTTATGTTTCATTTTTTAATAACAAATTTAAAAAACAGTATAATAAATAACATTTATTACAATACAACAGAGAAAATCATCCAAGCACGCCCATTGTGCAAGCTTCAGCCAAACTTGCCAAAATAAAGAAGAGATGGCTAATAAGATTGCTAATACAAGATTTAGTGGGCATGTGATTTTCATGGAGATCTTTCTTTCCTTTTACGTCTAGTGATTAAATTTGTGCCATTCTTATAGCACAAATATTCACCATTATGAATTCCAACTGCTGCAATATGGTTGGCACGAGGGTATCTTACCTCTAGAGATTTGCTTGACGCTGGTCTAGTTATGCACAACCAAGTCCTAGAACTCTCGTTTTGGCTGTTCTCATCTAATGGAACATGCCATGATCCAGTCTCAGATTCCTACAAGATGACAAAATGGGAATAGGGTGGATTAGAATAAAGGGTCCTTCAACAGGATTGACAAAATTGAAACTATACCTGGATGACTAGAGAATATGGAGGTGGCATTTTAAGCACCAAATCACCTTTAACAAAACTGTACTTTACCTGAAATGCAACAAAATTGTTCAGTAGAGGCAAGCCGTGATGTATTTTTTTTTATATTAATACAATAAATAATATCTAAAGCAGCATTATTTAACCCTTTTGGCGATCTATCAAATAACCCTGATAATTTGTCCCACTTCTAAGTGTCATGTTATACTAATCTAGGTTATGATACCGATTTAATGTAGAGATTAAGGATCTAAGATTTTTAATGTGATCCAGGATAATATCTAGCCACCAAATTGTCCTATAGTGAAACCTTATATCCTTTACTGTGAGGAAAAAAAATGTACTTTGTTCACTTCGGATGATTATTTAACAGGTGCCCAAAATGCAAAACTCCACAAGAAAAATAATGGCAAACATAAAATTTAAGCAACAATCAAGTTTGTGCTTCAAAAAGAAAATCTAGTCTATATATCACTTGGCAAGATTTCAACCACGAACCAAAACTAACTAAACAATGAAAATGACGAAAATAATGATAGAAATCAGACTCGCCCTAGTATTCATCCATGCATGTAAAGCACTCAATAAGGACACCTCCAATATACACACAAAAGATGAGAGGAAATTTGAAGTTTTATTTCAATTTAAATTAAATTTACATTTTCCAGGGATCCTAATAGCCTCAAAAAACCCAAAAAAAGGAATCGCACAAAATATTTAAGTCCACTCAGAAACAACAAATTTAATGCAACAAACACTATCTGCAGGTAATAGAAACTATTCAACAAATTTCACTCAATGAAATCCTCAAAGAGTCGGACTTAGGCCTCGTTGGAAAAAGCTTCTTCAGTGCTTTCCCTTCTACCAAATGTCACTAACATACTTTAATTAGTTTGATTTGCATACTTCACTAAAATCATGTTTTACCAAACTCCAGTAATACTCTCCATTTAAGACCTAAATTTCCTTGTCGCTTTAAAAAATTATTTTTCAAATGTTGATTTTTTAAATAAAATTTTAGGAAAACGTAACTTAAATCAAACGAGGCCTTAAATAGGAAATTTTTCCTAAAGTTATCATTGAAAGTACCAGGCGGTAAATTAGAGACTTAGTAAGGCAGTGAAACAACTGCAGCAATTAGCAGGAGGACGACTAAGTGACAGAAGGCAGGAAAGGCAGGTTAATAGCCCTATGAGAAACAAAAGGTGGCAATCAGCAAGTAGGGACAAACAAAACAAAAGCAAAAACAAAACAACTGCAAATGGTAGAAATAGTAAAACCATAGAAAAATAGTAGAAAGTATAGTTAGATACATAAGAAAGCAGCTGCATAGAGGGATTGCATTAGTGTATAGGAAGTGCAATGAGGAGTGAAAACTAATTAGCATAGTAGTAGTGATGTTGAACTCTACAGATGATGATTGTGATTCAATGGGATGAGTTAAAGTGTAAGGAGTAAGATCTGAAAGAGTATTCAATCATTCTAGAGAACACATCCCCCTTTGTATAGAGGTGAACATCATAGGCATATTTTACACTAAACAAAATAAAATAAAATAAATACATTGATATAGCTTGTATAAATCATCGCTTTCTCTTCTATGGGGCTGCTTGGTTGCATGCCGGATTTAGCATTAGTAAAATGTAAATGCATAAATCATAAATCCACCCTACCCATGGATTTTAGTAAATCCGGATTTAAGCCGAATAGAAGGTAAAATTTAGGACCCTACATCTGAAATTTCATAAATTCACAAAACTCCTACATTTTAGACTTCGGCCAAAAAAAAAATCGCCTCTAATGAATTGAGCATAGAATATCTATAAGTAAATCTAGGCATATTTATTTATGCTTCTTATAGTATAATCATATCACATAATAGTTCATCACGCCAATGTATAATATACATCTAATATTCCTCATCAGCAGGTAACATAGTCCCATCATCAATAATAGCTTTAAGCATTATCCAAATGAGCATGTCTAGTAAATTTTTGGATGTAAATTCATAGAAGGGCGAGAAAAGGGAAGACTTCAAAGATATGGAAAAAGGTTCATAAAATAAAGTCAGATCATATACATTGAAAATACAATTGTCACTGGTACTTGAAATTCCTACGTGTAAACGGTAGTCCTGAGAAACATGATGCAACATTTGTATGCCTACACCATTCAAACAATTAGTTTCTTAAAGGCTTATGCAGAAAATTTTTCTGGATTTAAGTGCACAGTTACTCCATCCCATGATTTCAAATTCATATCTCACGTAAGCACATCAACCGTTGAATTATAATTGCTATAATTATTTTTAATTCCCTATAAATCTTTTCATGCAATAATGCATAGGATTTACAAATAATTACATGAATTCATTGGGCCGAGATTCAACAGAGTCTAAAGATTTTCAGATTTAATAACCCAAGAAAACTCCAAATGGAATTACAACTGTGGATCTATTAATACATGATTCAGCCATTTAAAGCACAAATTCCACCCATTTTTTTGCTCTTTAGGCGGGACACACCATATAACTTAAACTCTTAATGACCACTTTAGTTTAATCGTCGACTTGCAAGTGATAAATAGTTAATAATCTTGACTGAGCTCAAATTTTCAAAGTTTTTTAAAAACTACATATAAATTTCATGTATATATAGAAACAAATGTTTTAGGTAACCTTTCCAATTTAAATAGTTAATTAAAAATATAAATTTGTAATATGGTATGCATAAGCAATTTTACATATAGAATAAAATAAGCTACTTTTTAGAAGCCATCAACAACTACAAAAAAGAGAATAATGCTTTCACAAAGTCCATATTTTAGACATGAAAGTAAAAACAAATGACTTGATTAAATTTCAAATGTCCTCATCAATCTTGTGTGTGCCTATTGGATATTGGATTCCTTCAAATGTGGTGCAAATGCTTGGTTAACTTTTGAGAGAAATTATCTCCCAATGCCATCGTGAGACCTAATTTTCTCTTATTTTGTGAATTATTTTCTTGAAACTTATTTTCTAAATATCCTATTATAATTTTTATGAGGATTCTTAGGAGATTTTAATTCTTGTGAAAATTTTAATAAAGTCACTGATATTTTATGGCTTTTAATTTTTTTGTTGAATTCAAATAATTAAATGATCAGTAGATCATTTGGCTAGAATTTTTCATATTTTCAAGTTTATGTCAAAAGAACGTACTTGTTTTAATGGGTGGGCTTTTTAAACTATTAATGCCCAATCTTAATGTTTTTATCCATCATATCATCTAGTTGCATTTAAAATCCAATATCTTAAAGTATCATACATCAATTTGAGTGGCATAAATACAAAAAACATCATTTAAAGAAACAAAGAAGCTACTTAAAGAAGCACAACCAAGTAATGATGCGGGGCTTGCATCATTATTGCTAAACAATAAAAATGGCAAAAGAAAATATGTAGTTTCAAAACCTTAATAACATGATACCTAACTAGTATATTTGCAAGCATGACAAACATATCATGCAATTAGTCATAAGAAAAACAATGCTTAAAATAGAATGCCAGACCATGCTAATACAAAGGGACAAGAATTATAGCTACATGTTAACAAATTGTGCCATGGAACTTTAAAAGATCCCTAGTGTGTACCTGATGCCTTTCTTTCCATTTAGGGAAAAAACTTCTACCTAGGAGTTCGAATATGTGATCTCTCATTTCATCATTAGTCACAAGCAAACACCTGAGTTTAACCGCTGCATAAAGCCAATACCTGAATTAAAAAACTATTCGTTACATAAATACAAGGATGACAAAAATTAGAAATAGGGCAATAGAATGAGATCGCCTTGTCTAATTATAAAAAGAAAAGAAATATGATAAAGAAGTTACATAACAAACTGAATTGTCCTGAATAAATAGACAAAAGTGCAGTGAAGGCGCGTGTTGGAGTACATCATACAACATAGTTTAGTTTTACCAATAGATTAATGACTATACATTACAAAGGCTTTCAACAAAACATTTGTCAAGAAACGGGGTGAAGAGTCATAACAGGAGGAACAAAGTTTTCCTCATCAAATACAATGGCCTTTAAAAGTTAACAAATCCAAATTTAATAGGATGCAAAGCCAAAGCAAATAGATGTAAGAAAGATATAGATAGACAAGTTGAGAAATAAAAAAATGATAATGGTAAAATGAATTTGTTGCAAACTAAGAAAAAAGGATTGAGAAATGATTATATTGAAAGATAATGAGATTAGCGCCTATTGAATAAAAGGTGACAAAGAAAATTGAAAAGTTATTCGGGCATATACAGAAACCAATAAAAGATGTGCCAAAGATAGGTAGATCAAACTAGTAGATGCCTAGTTGGATAAAGAAGAATAAAAGGGCATACTGAAGATAGCTTGGATAAAAGTTTTGAAAAATGATATGGAAAAAATATTTTAATACCTCTCATAGTGGATAAAGAATGTGAAAACATAAAGACACTCCAAAATAATTGAGATAGAAAGAGAACTTCAAAATAGACTGTTATAGGCTAGTTGTAGATAACAATTGTAATTAATAAGAACTTCACTAGTATACGTGAAAAATTAAAACAACAGAGTAAATTTTAATGGACTTAGCTTTGTAAGACAAAGTTAAGTATATGATTCACAACATTAATGAGTATAAATTGATAATTATCAATCACTATTAAAAGTTCTGTGTGTGTGTGTGCGCACATGTTCTAAATATATGTATATATGTATGTATATACATATATATGTATGTATATGTATATATGTATGTATATATGTATGTATATGTATATATGTATGTATATATGTATGTATA